TTCGGTGCATTGTGGATCGGGTGGCGGCCAAGGGAGGCCCTGGCGGTCCGATCCCCGGCTGACAGATTAAAACCTTACTGGTTAAATGTTTGTTCAGTAAGAAAAAAAGATGAAAAAAAACAACTCATCCTAGCAACACATCAGTTTACTATTTATTTATTTGCTTTTTTGTTTGTTTATTGACTCTCTATTCCATCCCATGTTGCTTCTCACTGTCGGTAGGCAGTCATGTGTACATACTTATATATTTTCTTGCTTGGTATGATACCTTGTATATTTAATATAAATATCTTTCTGATTCTGATAACATATGTTTGCCATTTTTAAGCTTGCTTCCTTCCTTAGGCTGACGTACGCCTGACTTGCGGACTTCTATTTTGAAAAGGTCAGCCAACACCGAAGTGCAAAATACAACAAATAATAAAAGAACTTTTTTTCTTGCGTTTTTTAAACACATTGATGTGTTTTGGGACTTCAAGGCCACCGTACTTTTTATCCAACAAGGTGAGCATTTTACTGGATTATATACAGACATAAATCGTCTTTTAAATACGCAAAAAAAAGAGAAATAACTCATGTCTTCACAGAGAACTGTTGAAATGTTATAAAAGTTGTGGGGAAACTGGTTGCGCAAGTAAAACCTACCAAACCCAAAGTCTGGCGTTGCTCAGTGCCCTTGCGGTGCTGTTGCCAGCAGAGGGCGGTGTGAACACACCGACTAGGCCAGGGCCACTTAGCACTTCAGCGTAATACTGATAGCTTTGGTCGTACGGGAAGAAGAAACGCGGGGTTAAAGGGAGACGGTGCATGTAATAAGCTCCAGCGCTAGCTGGGCCTGACGGGTGATGGCGGCAGCGGCGCGGCTGAGAGCGGGAGGCCCCGCGTCCCTCGCTCGGTTCCGAGGGGCGCTGGTCGGTGCAGTGCTTGGCGACTGCGTCGGTGGAGAGTTCGAGGGGGCGGAGGATGTTCCGATGGAGCGCGTCCTGCAGCATCTGAACGGGCTAGAACAGGATGACCGCGGCGATGGTGCGGCTCCCATAGCAGCCACCCTTGCTAACCGGGCTAATGTAGCGTTTTGATTAGGTAGATGGTGCATTTGAGTTAACGTGTTGTCAGTCTACGAAGTGAAATTTGACATTTTATTTATTGATTTCATACGCTATGGATATTAGGACTAAGTGTAGCGGGACACTTGTGTACCTATTTATTATATAAATATTGTCGCATTCGTCAAGCCAAAATTGAAGCATAAGTCAGTGTGATTCGGCTTAAGTTATATGAATAAGCGTTAAACATCAGAAAAGAAACGCCAGTTAAACGTTTTATAAGATTTCTTATTGACAAGCGTTATTTTCAAACGTATTGGTGTGACTGCGAGTCTGTGCTTTCTTCAGGAATCCTGCAGTACAGTGACGACACAGCCATGACGCGCTGCGTGGTCCAGTCTCTTCTGACCAGGGGAGCCTTCGACCAGCATGACCTTGCACACAGGTAAATCGGACACAGCATGAGGCTTAGGTGTGGGAGGTCACGTCGTCGTGTATTGATGCATTTGTTATTTTTCCCGTTCCAGGTTTGCTGAGGAGTATAGGCATGCTCCAGGGCGGGGCTACGGCTCAGGGGTGATCCAGGTGCTGCGGAGGTTGTCCTCCCCTCGCCTGACCGACGTCTACCAGCCCGCACGTGCTCAGTTTGGTGGCCGTGGCTCTTTTGGAAATGGGGGAGCCATGCGGGCAGCACCGTTTGCTCTGGCCTTCAGTGACCCAGCGGATATTAAGAGGGTGAGGCAGTGTTTAGTTCCCAAATTTCCCTTTTTGCTTATTTATGTTTGCGTACTGGGGTTGCTTCTGTTGTATTTGAATTGCACAGTCTATTCTGAGAGTGGCACCTGTTTAATTAGGGATCCAGGCAGCGAAATTGATGAACCCTGTTGTTTTTTGATTTCTGTAAAGATGCATATATCCTCGGAAAGATAAACCTTTTTTTGTGAGCTTAGCTTTAGTAAGACTAAGGGGAATCTTATGCAAGACACTTATTTAATTTGGAGTGAATAAGAGATGTGGTCTGATTGACAGGGACAATTCTGTGGATACCCAGTATATTCTTACAGAATTCCAGATGAATAGTATTATTATAGTAATCTGTTTTTGTATCCCACTGTTCTGTATATTGAATTTCCTCCCTGCTCTGCTTCCTGTCTCACTCAGTACTCCCGGCTGGGTGCCATGCTGACACACTCCTGTGCTCTAGGCTATAACGGGGCTGTGCTGCAAGCCTTGGCAGTACATTTGGCCCTGCAGGGGGCGCTGGCTGTTCCCCAGGCCTTCATCAACAGCCTGATATCAGAGATGGAGGATGCTGAAGCAGAGGACCATGCCCGTAGTGACGCTCGTGCGTAAGTGCTTACCTCACCCCACTCTGTCACGCCAGGTAGAAGCTGTTAAAGATTTTCCTTTTTTGGGTCTTATTTTTCATGAGGCTCTGGATGGCCTAGTCTGTCTTACAGCCTGTGTGTCTCTCTGGCTCCTAGACTGAATGAGCCAGAGTTCCCATACTGCACCCGCCTGCACAAGGTGAAGGAGCTCATGGAGAAGAGCACTGTGAGCATCGAGGAGGTCATTTCGGAGCTGGGTCAGTACCCATTCCGTGGTAGAAAGACACATTTATTTTTTTGAGTGGAGACTGTTAAAACTTTTTATCATACCAATTATAAAAGGCAAGGAATACTCAAATTATTTTCTCTCAGCTGGGTGCTAGCCAAAGTCAGACTAGTCGGTTAGGGTGATTGCTGCTACATTTAACAAAGAAATAAGCATTGACTCCATTGTGCTTTGTGATATGCATTGCATTATAAACGTGTGTTGCATGGATACTTTGTGTTTAAAAATGGAAAAATAGCTCTTATCTGTTTTCTAGATGCATAATTAGCATCACAGTCAACTGGCAACTAATGATGCTGTAGTGGGATTAAGTTTTTGGCACAAAAACACAAAAAATATCGGGAATGAATAAACACTGAGTTCAAGGATTAAGACCAGTGACCAGTGTCAATCTAACCAATAGCCTCCCTTTACCATTATGTCTCTCTTGCCTTTCACACCCAGGGAACGGCATTGCAGCCCTACATTCTGTGCCCACAGCCATCTTCTGTGTGCTGCATTGCCTGGAGCCCCAGGGAGGCCTTCCGGATGCCTATGGGGGCTTGCAGAGGACATTGGCATACTGCCTAGCTTTGGGTGGGGATACGGACACCATCGCCTGCATGGCAGGTGCCATTGCAGGGGCTCACTATGGCATAGAGGCCATACCACCTGCCTGGCAGCGCTGCTGCGAGGGTGCAGAAGAGGCCGAGGTCTGGGCAGAGCACCTGCACCAGCTGTACCAGCGATCACCGCGAGGGGGCGACAGCGAGAGCGCCCACACGGACACATAAGGTTCACCAGGCTGCTTTCTCATCAATGGCAGCACACAATACACTGACTGACAGGCACACATACATCCCCAACTCAGACTTGAAACCATGTCCAGCCAGAAGTCTTGTTTGACCGGTGTTCTGTTTTGGAATGAAGTCATAATAAATGTTTTCAAAAGTATGTATGTTAGTATGAGTGTTGGCAAAACATTATTTCTCTGTCAAAATACACGTAAAGGTCAGACGCCACTTTTTGAACACAGCTATATCCCATTCGAAGCAGTCATCAGTTCCCTGCACACTCCAGTGTGACCTCTGTGATCTGCAATTTCATCACAAGTCTCATCCTACCATGACTACATGGAATTATCTTCCCTGTCTCAGCTGGGACATTAGAGTTCTTTATACTCAGGGAAAATGCTAACGACCCACATCTTCAAATATCATTTCACCCCGAAATGCTTAAGTGCAAACATGCTTCTTAAAATGCCCTTAAATTTGATGTCTTTGTAGCTCACACTGCCTGTTATTTTTTGTGATGCTGGTATGTTTCCTCTTGCTCTGTTTGTGCATTGAGGGGATAACCAGCCTGTCTAAAAGGAAGTTGCACTTACACCAGGGAAAATAAGTATTGAACTTGTCGACATTTTCCTCAGTAAATATATTTCTAATGGGGCTATTGACATGAAATTTACACCAGGGGGGTGTTCCACGAAGCAGGATTAAGGGAAAGTCTGACTTATTTTGAAAAGTCAGGATCATTTAAATGGGAGTTCTGTTACATGTTTAGTTGGAAATTTGCGCAAATGTTCTAAAATAAAAGGAAAAAATGAAATATTAGTATCTTTTACTTGCCAAGTAAATGATTCAAAATATAAGAAATAGGTCTTTCTATGTGGTCAATTTATATAAGCTATTTATTCATTGAATTTACCGAGAATGTGCTATATCGTGATATGTATCAGTATATGAGATTTTGGTCATATCGCAAAGCCCTCTATGTGTGTGTTATCAAGTAAAACTTATCAGCCAATGGCCACAGGATGTGGATTTTAACACTTGTCATGACATTGCCAACATGCTATTTACAATTCACCAATAAGGCAGCCTGATGAGAAACATCCCAGGAACACCTGTCATTTCCGGGGCCACTTTCCATAAAGCATCAAAAGGTGATGCATATAGTACAAACTGTAAAGCAACCACTCTCCCCATCAGGAAAAAACACGATATTCAAAGGTTTTATCTTGCTTTTATAAAAGATCTGACACGATTCCCAACCTCTGACCCTTACTCCCTACTTCACGTCGGTGGGCTTTATTTTGATGAGAAACCCTCTGAAATCTCGGTATTTGTCCCATGACTTGCTTCCCCTGTCGTCATCCAATTAAAAAAAAACAGCAATGTGATTTTAAAATGTAACGCAAGGCTATGTACAGATGCAGTAGAGTAAAAAAAAAGGTAAATATTCGCTGTACAATATAATAGAGTAAAAGTCAACGGCTAAATGTACTTGTATGTAAAGTACAGATATGTGAAAAATATACTTAAGTACAGTAACTAAGTATCTGTACTTCGTTACTTGCAAACATTGCATTTTAACCTAATTGTCAAGAGATTATAGAGCAATGAAAAAATATCATTACCGCAATGAATATAGGGAAATGGGGGCCTTTTTATGCCTTAACCATCAGCGCCACATAAAAGGGATCGTCGCAATACACAGCAGCACGATTCAAGCCGGAAGTCCGCCACTAACCAAGAGGAAAGGGAAAAAGGAGCAGCGAGGCAGACGAATCGCTGGGGCACCGTGGCAAACGCTATGCGACTTTTTTTGTTCCTCCCCATATTGTCATTTCTATAATGGCGCTGGTTTTCACACTTTTGCGTATACTGCTGGGACTTTTGTTTGTGCTTGCAGGTGTAGTGAAACTAACCGATAAGATATCGGAGGACATCTACATGCACATGGTGAGTGTTCATGCATATATAAACCTTTTACTGTAAGAAGCCGATCGGATGGTCGCAGCAAACGACGCGGTTTGAGTCCGGAGACGTACGCCGAGCGCGCTTTTTAAACCGGGAGTTTGTCAGACATTCACGTTTTCAGGTGCGTAAGCTATAAATGTTAATGATGTTTTACGTAAAACTAAAATATTAACCTACGTGATACTGAATGTTTTTAAATATTAATTCATATTTTAAAATATTATTTTGTATCCGCTGCTGGAAAGCGCCCTGCTGCTTGTGTTTGTCGTGAAGAATGCACCAAAATCCAGGCCGTTTTCGCTTGGTGTCCGTACTTTATCTTTTATCACCGGTATCCCCAGATTTCAACGATATTATTGTAAATTTGAACGTTTATCTACAATATTTTATATATATATATATATATATATATATATATATATATATATATATATATATATATATATATATATATATATTTCACAAATAATTAACAAAATGAAATATTGAATATCATACACACGTAATGGTTTAGAAGCATATTCGCATTTATTTCGGTTAATGTGATAATCTGCGCATCTTCCATCCAGCGCGCCCAGTTTGTGGAGTTCTCGGCCGTATTCCCCCTGCGGATAGTGGGCCTCCATCTCGAGCCTGAGCAGTACCTGATCGTCACTGGCTGGCTGGAGCTTGTAGCCGGAGCTTTGCTGGCTTTCGGGCCCAGGATTTTGCAGGAGATCAGCAATCTTGTTCTCTCCGTGGTCATGATGGGTGAGGAAACAAGACCGCAAGCTGATGTATGCAGCATCGGTCTCTCCCTGAGGCGTTATAGTGGGCAGCTCAGAAGTTCGCAGTTGGATAGATGCACTGTGTTTGTGTAGCGATCATATGCTTGTGCTCTGGTCCTTGTGTTTTCCCCTTTAATTTAATGTATAATTCCGATTTATAAAACAGCAATATGGCAAGAAAGGTAATATGACTGATTTATTTTTTGACCAACATTTAGAAAATGACAACTCACAGGTAAGCTTACTTATGAGGTAAATGGTAAAAACTTATATCCAGATCAATCTGCATAGCAAGTAACGATATGGGTGAGATGCCATTATCAGTGTCTGCAGAGGATAACACAGCTAGAACAAAGAACAGTTGAACAAATTATGAATAGTAAATATTGGGGTGGGGAAACGGGTCATTTTGGCTGCATTTCGGTCTCTGCTAACACACCCATGCACACTGCTTTGTAGTGGCTATATTCACCTTGCTGAAGCTGCAGCAGCCTCTCTACATGTGTTGCCCTGCGGCGGTGTTCCTGGGACTGCTGCTGCTGCTGGCTGTCCGGGGCCGGGGGACCAAAAGCAAGATACACTGACCCTCCCTTTTGTGTGCCGCTGGAGGAACTGCAGATGTCACATTCCATAAACCACCAGCCGCTGCCAGAGTTAACGATTGACTGTTAAATGGATGCCTTTAAAAGCCCTTTTAGCAAATATTTGATAAAATATGCATTCATTTCAATATAAAACTGCATATTGGTGGGATAATGACAAACACATTTGGGGAATATCCACATTTAACTGCTATTAGTTTGATGTATTTAATACGAAATGCGTATTTACACTATATGTGATTTCTAAGCATAGAAATTGACACATGGGCATACAGAACATGATAAAATTGTGTAATTTCTATTAAAACTATATTGTATCAGTTTGTATCAGGAAACTGGAAGCATTACCAGGCAGTTATGATGAGCCCAAAAATTACAACTTAAGAAATCACTAAGAATATGCCACATTCAGCATTTAATTTCATACTTCCTCTATTTCTGTTCAGTAATGAACTGGAATATTTTGCAGTGTGTTTAAATGAAATTCTATTATTTCCTATCAATTTTAATCCATTTGAGATATTTGAAACTTTGGCACATTTTACTTAATGGGGTTACGTGTAAAATGCAATGATAAAACTGCGCTTCTTGTTGTATCAGTCCTGTTTTATTTGTAATTGTTGTTTTTTCAAAATAAATTACTCTGTAATAGTCAGTGAAATATCTGGTCCACTGTTTGCACACAAGTGTGATAAGGTCAGATGGGTACCATTAGAGATGCACCGATACCGATATTCGGATCGGTATCGGCGCCGATCCAGACCTATTTGACGGATCGGGAATCGGCCATGCGTGACCGATCCACGTCCTATACTTACTTATTTAGTTTTTGGCAATCAATCGCACGACAGCTCTTTCCCATTTTACATGTGTGTTTTTGCGGAATTCAAATCGAACGCTATCACTGCCCCTAAGTCTTTTTTGCTACTCAGTGGGTGTGAGTACAGTGACTTCCGCCTGCTGTGAGGTCATGCGCATACCCTTCGCAGTACGAGGAGCGTAGGATAAGACGTGATCTGGGAGTATTTTAGGCTTTTAACAGAAATCGGAAGCACAGCGTTTTGCAATCTATGTAAAATAAGGTTTTGAGGTGGGAATAGCGTTTAATGGAAAATCCCATTTAACAAAGCGCACGCAACTGCGAGACAAAACAAAGCAATGGATGATTTGGGAGTCGCTAACTTAATTGGACTGTTTTGCGAACTCGTTGCTTGAGATACAAGAGGGGCTGCCATCGCAACAAAAGTGTAACTGCGCTGATGCCAATGGGAGAAAAACTGTTAAAATTTTAAGCATTCGCCACTTGTGTATATTTGCTTTGAAGATATTCATATTGAACTGCAAATGCCTCAAAAACGCTTAAAACAAATGAGGTGGAACAGTACGTTATGTATGTTTGTAGTAGCCTAATTAAATATTTTTTGTCATACATTTTTTCCATCTGTATTTACTAGCTTAAAAAAAATAATATGTAAAGTATAACAAAGTAAAAAGAGCTCTTGTATCGGAATCTGTATCGGTATCGGCAGTTGTGTATCGAAATCGGATCGGAACTGAAAAAACGTGGATCGCCCATCTCTAGGTACCATCATATCTACACTATCATGGTGCAGTTTCTTCATCTAGTTCTCCACACAGAGAGCTAATAATCTGTTTTCTGTTTAACCTCATTTTTTCCTAGTTGCAATAACAAACCCAGACATGCTGAAGCAGTAAGAGTTCCCTTCATTGGTTTAGCCCAACCCCTGAAGAACTACTTACTAACATACTATTATCCCGCCTCCATCAAACTGTACATTTGGCACAGTGGAGGTTCTATACTTAGGGTATCAAAGTCCTTTTAGTGAATGGGCCACATTGGAACTTGTCCAGACTCACGTGGGCCACATAATAATTGTGCTAGATTAGTAAAATATGATTAACACCCTTAGTATTTGTTTTAATCTGTTATTTTGCTCTTAAATTTTTGTTTCAATAGTAGAGGTTTCTTTTCTACCAGTAGAGCTATTTTAAATGAACAATTTCATGAAAATAAATAATGTACAAATGGAATGCTTCATGAAACTTCTGACCTGTATTCAAATGGTCAATGGCTTTCTCACATACAGAATCACAGAGAAATTATACTTAGTGATGCAAGCACCAACTGTCAAGCACTCGATTTTGTGCTCAAAATACATTCTGTGCCACAAAATAGGTTGGTGCCCCATCGTGGGTTGTTCCCCACCTTGCGCCCATATCTTCTGGTATAGGCTCTGGACCCGCTGTAAACCTGAATAGGATAAGTGGTTTCAGGAAATGGATGAATTGTTCCAAATGAGAAATGTTTTGAACTCAAAGGTGTCAACATCAGAGGGTGTATTAAAGTATTAAAATAGAACCATTAAAACATTTCATTTTTAAAAGTACATATATATAAATGTAAATAATAATAACAGTAGTAATACATTTATTTCAGACCCAAGTAGCATACATATTTTAGGGGGGGTCAGAGGGGGGTCATGCATGTTGGCCCAGTTTAGAACCCCCCTGAGCTGGCACAATGCAGTCAGACAGATAACGTTCTCCTGGCATCTGCCAAGCCTGGACTCACCCATCAGACTGCAAGACAGAGAAGCGTGATTTGTCACTCCACAGAACACATTTCCACTGCTCCAGAGTCCAGTGAGAGTGTGCTTCACATCACTCCATCTGACGCTTGGCACTGCGCTTGGTGATGTGAGGCTTGCATGCAGCTGCTTGGCCATGGAAGCCCATTCCATGAAGCTCCCAGTGCACAGTTTTTGTGCTGGAGTTAATGCCAGAGGAAGTTAGGAACTCTGCAGTTACTGAGTCAACAGAGTGTTGGTGACTTTTACACACTAAGCCAGCGGTGGCCAATCTTATCTGCAAAGGGCCAGTGTGTATGCAGGTTTTTGGGATAACCTGTAGGTCAGCTGTTAAAACCCAGGTGTGAGGACTCTTCAGCCAATCAGTCCTCTAATTAGTAATCCAATTAGGGAGCTGCAGCGAAAACCCGCACACACAGCAGCCCTTTGCGGATAAGATTGGCCACCCCTGCACTAAGCACCTCAGTACTCGGCTACACCAGGCTACCAGGCTCAGGACAATGCTGTACAGGGAAATAATCAAACATGCATTAAGTAATATCATTTAACATAGCACAAGGCAAACATATACACATATCCTAATAACCGTGGGAAAATTATCTTTCTATTTTCTTGCTACCATCTCCTGGCCGAATGTAAGTATTGCAATTACCAAAAAGATCATTTAAATTTTTTTTAAATGGCAGTACTCGATTTTGGCCACCAGACGGCAGCATAAAACGTGGAAAAATATTTCCCCACGGTCAAATCAAATAATTTTTAAACAAAGACGTATTTTCACGCTGTACAATGAATTAATAAAACATACATTTAATTATTCTAATATATTTTTTTACATGGTACAGGTCTTTTTTTTAATTACCTTATAAAACAGCCATTATACTGCGAGAAAATATGTTTCTATTTTCTTGCTGTCACCTCATGGTCAAGCTAAAGTTTTGCAATGAGGCAAAAAATAATTAAAATGTTTTGAAATGAAAAATTCATACAAATTCAAAAGATGACAGGCAGACTACAGTCACTCAATGTCTCCACCCTCCATTACTGCTTTTCCGCTACAGGGTGTTGGGGAGCCTGTAACTGGGAACTGTGAATGTTTGCGCTGAAACTGGGCACTGTGTGTGTGTATGTGTGTGCGCTGAAACTGGGCACTGTGTGTGTGTATGTGTGTGTGCGCTGTAACAGGGCACTGTAACAAACACTGGTTTGTTACCAGATGTCTGCAATTATACTCCTGTCCTCTAAGGGTAAGTATAATTTCCTAGAGGATTATAAGGAGCAAGAGCCTTCTTGAGGCTCAGAATAAAGGAAGTAAGTCCTTATTTGAGGAACGGGAAGCGTTCATGGCTCAATGTAAGATGTTTTTCTGAATGATATGGATGTATTGTTTGTTTAATTTAGTAACAATTATTTGAATGATATACATGTGTATTTGTTGGGTTTAGCAAAAAGCGGGATGTATGATTTTTTTATTTTCAGAAAGGACTTTTTTTTCCCCTGATTTACTTGCAACTGCCAAACTTCTCTTTCCGGCTTCACATCCTACCATTGTTTGGGCCATCCTCACTTGGAAGAGGACGTTTGGTCTCCACTTTGGACTTTGCTATTCATTTCAGTTGTATGGTTATCCATCTCAACACCAGTTTTCTTGAGTTATTGTTAATTCATTATTTACATGTACATTTGCAGGGGTAATATGCTCACCTTTGTTAGTAAATATTCTTTGGTCTGTGAACTGATGGTGTATTTCTCTTTACGCCACCCTGAAATGTCCCTCCCTACGTATAGTGTGTAATAGGTTGGTTCTGAGGCAGGAATCAGCAGTGTTACATAAGTGGTGCCTGAACAGGGACCAGGGTTTAACACTTTATTGTATCTTGCATTAGTAGTGGTGTTGCCATGACTAGCAGCAGCCCTCAAGTAGAACATAAGGAAGAACATAAGAAATTTACAAACATGAGGAGGCCATTCGGTCCATCAAGCTCGTTTGGGGATAACTTAACTAATAGCCCAGAGTTGTTAAAATCTTATCTAGCTCTGATTTAAAGGAACCCAGGGTTTTAGCTTCCGCTACACTAGCAGGAAGACTATTCCATACTCTAACTATATGCTGTGTAAAGAAGTGCTTCCTCAAATTTGTTTTAAAATGTTCTCCCGCTAATTTCTACTTATGGCCACGAGTTCTAGTATTTAAACTA